AAACAATTGAAGCCCTTTTTGGGGCTTGAGTGGTTTCATGGGGACAGCCATGGGGGGGCTGGGGGAGCAGGTAGGGGTTGGGGGGCTTGTGGCAGATCCCCCCACGCAGCGGGGGGTAGCAGGGATCACCCCCCTGCTGGGCAGCAGCCGGTGAGTGAAGGCCTTTTTTTTTTCTTCAAAGAGCCAGGAGCTGGGGGAGTGGGTGTGGCAGCCATTGAGAGCGGGCTGGGGATGGAGCTGATTCAGCCGATTTGGCTGTGGCCGAATCGCCGAACCAGATTTGGCCGAATCGATTCAGGACAGTGATTCAAATCACCGAATCAAATCACTGTTCCCCAAATCTGTTACATCTGAATCCGAAGTGAATACTAGCCACTTCGCACAGGCTTAGTATCCATGCATCTGCTGCCAGCAATGAGGATCAGACCCCACAGAGCCCCCACCCCCTGTCTGCCCCTGGTATGCCATGTTAAGGAATGGGTTGAGGTTGGGGTGTTTTTGGCACTCTGGCCAAAAATGTTGCTGACCCCTGGTTCAGATGATGGTGTGTCGTTTGTATTCATGGATTTTCAAGGCTTTGGATGGGTGAACAGAATCGCCCTTTGGTGGCCAAGTGCATTTATGAGCACAATAATTGGAAGTAAATCTGACCTGGCTGCCTACACCTCTCCACCCAAGTCACACAGCTCCAGGAGTAGCTTGGGGCTGCTCAGAAAAGCTTCTGGAGAAAGCAGCCAGTGGTCCTGAGGAGCCCAGGCCTGCTGGGAGCTTGTGTGGGGGGAGAAATGACGAGCTACCTAGGGCACTGGTTCCCAGTGTTTTTAGACTCTTGGCATGGGTGGGAAAGGACCGGCTCTTAGTTTGGGCTCCTTTTTTTCTTTGAACCTCTGGCACAGAATGAAGCAATTCATGTCTGGCAAACAGACTGAGAAGGACCACAGCTGCTGCACCCCGGTGGAGAATCCCTGGCCTGGAGGGCCTCCAACCCTGCCCTGGGCAGGACGGCAGAGAAGGAAAGCAGCCTGGGGTGGAGGCTGCCGGGGGAAGCAGCATGGCACGAGGCTCAGTCTTGGGCAAGTGTCAGAATGGAAATAAAAACAGGGCTGACAAGAGGGCTGGAGGAAGTGGCGGGGAGGGGGAGAAAGGAAAGCCAGAGAGGGAGCAGAGAAGTACCCCTGCCCCTCCTTGCCCCATTCAGTGCACCCAGGCGCTGCGGCAGGCGCTGCGGGCTTGTGGCTGTACTCTGCCCCACTAGCACCAGCATGCCACAGCACCCTCTGCGGCACAGGGAAACCCTGCTCCCCTCTCCCCTTCTTTCCTGCCTCAGCTGAGCACTGTTGCTGCACGGCTTCAGCCCCCTGCAGGGCTGAGGTGCAAACGGGACACAACTCCTGGTGGTGGTGAGTCCACAACTCCTGCAACTGCTGGAGCATACACCTGGGGGTCACCCTGCCCCATGCTGCTGGGTTCCCACCTCAGACTTTCCCAGCACAGCCCCCTCCTCTCCCCTCCGCAGCCTGACCCAGCCAGGTGGGCATGCTGGTACTGATGTCCATAGAGTCCTGGCTAAGCATGTGAGCCATAGCACCAGGCAAAAGGCATGGCGATCTGAAGAGGAGGAGGCAGAGGAACTGCAGCGCTCACCACAACAGCCATCCACCTCCTGCACCTGTCACAGCAGGGCACCATCACCTTCACACCCCCTCAGGGCCAGTGCAATGGGGTGGGAGCAGCCCCGCTTCCCAGAGCTGGGAGGGAGGGATGGGAAAGGGCAGGGGCGGGCTGGGCGAGCGGTCAGTACCTGAGCTAGGTAGCAAAATCAAGCATCTTGTCTGCAGCCAGCATGCACGGTGAGGGTGGGAAAGCAGAGGCATGGCAAAGTCCCAGACATTTGCTGATATTTAAAAAACCGCCTGGACAGAGATGGGAGAACCCAAAAAGATGACATGTCCAGGAAAACCTGGACATATGTTAACCCTATTGAGTCCAGTTTCAATTCAGGTGACACTTCCATACCTCTTGAATAATTCTCCTATATTTTTAAGGACTGCAGTTCATTCTCAGACATATAGTACATTAGGTTTTACTTGAGGGTTTTATCGTTGCTACTTCCATTTGAAATTAGCCTTGTTTTCAATAAATGCATTTTGCTCCTTGGCCCAGTTATGGCAGATACATACTACCTCTATAACTGGGTTGTATCAGCTTCTGTGCTGTCAGTTTACTTTGCAGTGGGCTCTAAACACCCATAAAAACTGGTTTATGGAAGTAGCGTGTCTCCTGCCATTTCCACCAGCTCTTGGTCCAGTACCAGACCACATATACCAACATGCTGCTACAGCATATATTGGGTTTCTTTTTTTATAATTGAATCAAGGTACTGTGAATAGCCATTATCTGGACAGCACCAGAGCTGTGTTTGGTTATGTCTCTTACAACTGAAGAGGAAAGAAAGACCTCTTTTCCCTGACTTACATTTCACATTGATTTCTGCTGGGTGTGTGCTATCATGCATTGCTTCTCTCTGGCCTCTGTGTACTTCATCCAGTTAATATCCCAAAGAGTGAAATCAATGCAGGGAAAAATAGTTTTGCTTTATTTTTTTATTTGATGTTATTTGCATTGTCTCTGTGGTGCCTTTCTAGGTATGCTTGAATTAATTAACCCTAGCCACAAGAAGTCTGAATCAACTGTCCTGGCTAGGAAATCCCCAGACTTATCCTGAAATACACTTAGGTCTGAAGGAGGTCTCTTTTCCATCATTAGTAAATCCCTGTAAGGTAATTTAACAGGTGCGATTCAGCTGCATGTTCACTAATGTTGCCTAAACTCTTCTAATGATTCACCCTCAGGTAGTCAGATTTTAGACTACCTGGTGCTATTGTGTCATACTCACTGAACCAAGCTGGCTGGGTGATGTCACTGCCACGACCTCAGGCTTCTACTTCAGGTAGGGGCTTGTGCCTCACAAAGATGATGAGTTTGTTTATGGTAAAATCCACTGCCTTAACTGTGGAAGGGTGTTTTAGAGGTTGGTGTTAATCACTGTCTCTGAATAGAGCTGTTAGCCAGCCCTGTAATGTTGCAAAAGAAAGCAGGGCCACATGGGAAGGCCAGGTGTGAAGAAATCTCTGTGAAGGTCCAGTTAGACTAACCCCCATCTACTTGGCAAGATTTTGCTCTGGGTGAGCCAGCTACAAAGGAAGACTTTACCTTTGGGGTTCCTCTCTCTTTTAAGGCTTTCCTTTAGGCTGAAAGATGTTTGTAGCCAGAAGATGTTTTAAGTATTTCTAAGAAACACACAGTATAATTGCTAAAGCCTTGCATTCCTTGCCTGCAGGTTGTATTATTGCCTGCTTATTCTGGGAAGAAGACAGAGAAACAGCATTGCATTGACTACAGTTTCTCTTACTGTTGTTTAGGACTAGTGTTGATAGGATCCAGATGGAGCCTCTCAATATCCTAAACAGGGGGAAAGCTGTAGCAACAAGCAGCTGGTTGTAGAGAAATCATAAGGTTGGAAAAAACCTCCAGGGTCATCTAGGCTAGTACTCTGCAGAGATGCAGGGTTCAATATTCCTAAACCATCCCAGACAGATACCACTCCCTGAAAACCTCCAGTGAAGGAGAGTTGTGACCATGGAAGCACTGGTGGTGCATTAGCTAAGTGGAGGTGCTGGTTTTGTGTAGAAGTTCTTCTATCATTATGGCTACAGAAACATGTACTGGTAGCAGGGTGAGGAAGAGCTGAAATGCTCCTCAGTCACATGGGAATGAATCCCATTTTAATCTTTGTAAAAAAATTTGCTTTCAGATTCAGTGGTTTTCTTTTGTCACCAAATTGTTCCAGACCTGACTAGTGAACCCTTTAGTGTGCTTGCTGGAAGGATGGGTCTTGATGGAGTCATGCAGTAGACTCTGCTTCAAACTTTCTTTGAAGTTTTGCACAAGTCGCTTTATCCCTTTGTTCCTGTTCCCATCTGTAAAGTGAGATAATAGCGTTTAGGACTGTGCTAGGATCATTTCATTAGCATTTGTGGGGTCCTCAGTTTGAGTTCACTGGTCATTTTAACTCATGTTAATTATGGCTTTTCCTTGTTTGCAGATTGCCTGGCAGGAAGGAAGGGTCATTTTAACCTCTGGACTCCCATATCAGATGGTAAATACATTTCTCTTGTATAGTGTAATTTTTGGGACTAGAATACACAAGGCAGAGGAGAGAAGAAGTCAGATGTGAAAGCAACAGCTGGATGAACTTTTTCATCTGTTTCCTGTACTGAAAGCCATTGATATGCAAAAGGGTCTTGTTCTTGCTCTGAATATCAGAGGGTCAGGAATAAGTTTGTTTCACTTCTCATGCAGCCAGTATTGAGAGCAATTGCTCTGCATCTTAAAAGGTAATAGAAAGCAAACCCATCTCTGAACAAAGTGGCTCTGTGCAGCTTATCCGGAGTGATTAAATGCAAGTGACTTCCCATCCATTTCATCAAGGAGTATAAGGAGATTCCTGTTTATTGAATATATCCACACTGACAACACTATCTGCTGTCTAATGCTCTACGGCTTTTTTAGGGGCTTGGAAGAAATAGGATGGAAGTGCCAAACATGATCCCAGTTTGAATTGTTGTATGCATATATAAAAAGTTAAACAGTACTACACTCAGCACAACTACAAAAGCTTATATTCCTCAATGAATCAAATGCAGGTTCCCTCTCAAATACTATTAGTGCATCCTCAGAGGGAATATATTTAACCACACAAGTGAATAATTATGATATTTATGATACCCATTGTAGGAAGTCACATGTCTTGTGATCCACAAAGTGATTTATAGCAGTAAAACAATTCAGGATTGCACGTGTGAATAGATCATGGATCTCCCCCATTCCAAACCACAGATATAAGATGATGACCCAACTATATTTGTATTATCTTTTTGCTTAGACCTGGATAGATTGCAAGCTGCATCTTGCTGGTTGATTATTTCATATGGTTTATTGCTGGGCCTGAAAGAGGACTCTAAATATTTAATCTGGTTAAGACTGTGGGGTCAGGCCATGAGTGAGAACTTCCATTGAGTCAGGAACTTCCATTGGTCAGGGCTTGTGTTAGGAGGCAGATCTCCAGTTCATGAATGTTGTGTGGGAATTGCCAATGGAAAATAACCATCCTAGGATGCATAGTATTGTTTTAGGAAATAGCTGTTAGAGTTGGATCTGTAGATTTTGTTCTTCCTTTGTGGATAACACAAAATAGCAGAGGGTTTGCTTATAGTAGACTTTTAGACTTAATTGATTGCTAATTATCTCAAGGTACTGAGCACCTTTATAAAGGCTAAACTAGACACTTCCCAAATATGCACTCCAGGTTACAGACATCTGCACTAAACCTCTATCCTGGAACAAATGCATAGGAAGTGGCCAGATCAACCCTTGCAAGTTCAGTGACCATTAGCTTGCTTGAGGTAAAAATAAATGACTTGTGCAAATAAAGCTAGAAGGGGTCAGATGGCTCCAATTTATTTCATCAAGTGCTATCTCCTCATCTCGGCTTGCTTAGCTGCATGTCAGTGTATGATCTCTCATCTGGGTTTCACATGATAACCATGGTTAAATACAGTCCTATGTCATTTCAGACAACACCACTGTACTTCTGTATGCTAAGTTACAGTGAAATTAAAACTGGCTGTTGGGTACAGCATACTGAACATTAGACAGTTCTAGCACTCTCAAAACTCTTTGCAAAGGTATCTTAAATTACTAGCGTTAAATTATCACGTGTGTTCCAAATTTAGTGAATAGGCACACAATAGCATCAAACATTATTTGATGTAAAAATCAACACACTCTGGTGTGTTTTAACGAGCCCAGATCCCAGTGCGTTGAATACATGGTTTGTCATGTCTTTGGTGTGTGACTTGCCTTTTGCAGCTGCGGTCCCAGGTAGGAGAAGGGAGATGTTTCTCTGTGAACTGTTCAGAAAAAGCAAGGGAGCAGGCCCTACAAGTTCTGAAGCACTTCAATGTTCAAGTGGCCCTGGCAGATATCTTCAGTCGCTGTCAGGTAGGAATCTTTTTTTCTAAATTAATATCACTGCTCATCTGGTTTAAGTACACACCATTGTAGTATTCTGGCTTTATATCCTTGGATCTTCCTGTGGGTCCCTAGGGTTCCTTCCTGTACTTTAAGAAGGACTCACAAAGCAGTGTGTTTTTGGAAAGTGCTAATGTCCTTTACAAATGTTGGTGACCATGACCAAATCAAAAGCATTAGCTACATATGAAGCTGGTTAGCATTTGGCGTAGCTTTCAAGTTTCTGATATTTAGGGATTTGTTTAGTCTTGATGATCATGGATATTCTCTTCTCTTTGTTTCCGAGTTCTTTGCCTAGGACACATGCTGTTTTAATTATATAAAGCATAGTTAATTGTGGCTATATGTTCTGATATCCCTTAATTACATTAATGGAAAGGAAGAGTTTTACTTGGTTTGGAAGGCCAGGATTTTGTTTGAGGCTGTTGGGTTAGTTCATGTTTTTGTTGTCTGATGAATCCAGATTATGTTTGGGATTGAGTATTCTTGGACTGTTTTAAAAAAAAAAAATCTTGATTGCGTTAGGCTTAATTCTTCTTCATCACTTCCAGTTTCACTGGTGCATTCATTACGCTAACACACTGTAACTTATCCCTTTGAAAACTGTAATATAAGCTGACTTGTGACTTCAACATTTCTTATCTTATCAGGGCTCTAAAGATAGGAAGAGAAGAAATACACAAACCTGACTAGAAAAGGAGCATTCCCTTACGGGTAAATGAGCCAAGTCTAGCATTTCAGTAATGGTCTGGCTCAATGCCGTTTGGTAGACAGCTAGCAGGGTTTCCTAGCAATGTGGAACTTTGTGCATTTTGTAGCAATAGCAGTGAATATTGGGAAAACACATAGAAGCATACTCTTCTAGAATTCCACTTATATCTGATTTCAGTAGTTGTTGAAACAGTGTCTAAGTCGCTCAGAAAATGAGAGTTGTCCAGCTGTTCAGGACGCCCACAGGATGGGAATAGTAGAGAGCCAAGCAGATGGCATAGACATAATATGGGTCACTTGGTTGATCCTGCTTCAGGACAAATGGGTATATTCAGATATCAGATAATGTACTAGTTTTGTGGCTTCATTCTTTTCAGGATAGATTTTATTCCATTTAGAGCAACTGGCTGCTTGGTTCTAATTTTTTTTTAAACCTTTGAACCAAACATGTCTCCTGTACACTTAACCAAGATTCCATAAACTGAGAGCATTCTTGCAGGCAGCCTTTAAGATACAATTAGAGCAAATAAATGCAGAGAATATTTTTGCTGCAAAAATCAGTGGGATGATGTATCATAAATGCAGATGAGCGTGTGACAAGTGGTATAAAGTTGACCCCTTACTTTATGGTCCAGATTTTGGAGCTGCTTAGTTCTGCAGTTCTTTTCTTGTGTACTCCTCTATGCTCATTCTTACTGCTGTTATGAAAGCTGTGCCTAGCAGTATATATTATACACCCACCAGCTTCCAGAAAAGATGCTTCACTTGTGTCTCAGTCATGGTAAGACAATTGCATTTGTTAACATACCTGGCATTATTTTTTGTCAAATTACTTTGTATTTTTCAAGGCTGCTGACAGGTAAATAAAGGAAGAATAAGATTGTAGGTGTGGTGATGTAAAGATTCATATATCTGATTCAGTATTGTTCTGTATAGTGGTATACGCCCAAGTACTTGTTGCAGTTTTTTGTGATACACTGATCTCAATGTACTTCGATAGTTTTACCTCCAGATTTTTTTTCTGTTGGATATTATAAACAGCTTAAAGGCTGAAATCCATTCTTGGGACTGTCTTATCTAGCGTGTAGTCACTTCTATGCCATATGTGTAGCTACATTGTAAGGATGTGGCATTTTAGTGCTGTTTTGTGTTCAAGACTGAGAAGACCCTGATGTCCTTCAAGGTCAAAATTGCTGTATTGATAGTTTAATCTATACAATAACATTCCTATAAAGGGGAACCTAAAACTTTTGGCAGCTGTGGGCCTAGAGGAACTACTTCTCTAATTACCCTTGATTTCCGAAGATGTGGAGTACTCAAAGCTGTCCCTGACATCATTGGGAGTTCTGGGTCCTCAAAGATTCAAAATCAGCTTTCTAACTTGTTCACCCTCTTTCTTTGTTTTCACAAAGCTCAGCTTAATGGTGTCTGAGCTACAGAACTCTCCATGGGGAATGGTCCGTCTGCTTGCCAGAGGGCTGGAAGTTCATTATCAGCTGTGATCATCAATCAAAGATAAGCATTTTCTGTGTGTTGCAGGAAGCAATGTGGCATCCTGCCTGCCTCTCTCTGTCTCATGGACCAAGGGCTTGTTTTGTCTCTGGCTTGTATTCAGTAAATGATTTGAGGGAATATGTCAGCAGATATTATTACTGTAACAGTTCCTACGTGTACCATTGGATGTATTAAAAATAGATGCCAGTACAGTTTTGCATCCAGGATTGTTATGAAGTGTGGTTCCTCTTGTCAGCTCCCTTGGCATGGATGGGGGCCCGCTCCTTATAGCTGAAAGGAAGAGGACATGTTTTGTTCCCCTGCCATGAGATTAAATCTTTTAAAGTTAAAATAAGTGCAAGTTGCTAGTCCTTTATGTTTTTGGACTTCTCTCTGGGACCTAAGGGAGAGTCTGCTCTTTTGCTCTGTGTGTTTGAGTCTCCCGCATGTATTTCAAGTGAATCTTCTAATCATCCGCTCATTTGTGAAGTCACTGGTAGCTTCTTCTTCCCTCAGATAAATATGAGCAGTTCCACCAGAAGGAATGCAAGTGGTGGGCATGTATCAGAGAACTGAAGATAGTCCAGAAATCATCCATTCCACCTACTGGTCCCCATGCTTGTCATAAAGGACCTGGAGAGGCCTTCAGAGAGTGCCTGTGTGTGTTTTTTAGGAGCAAGTACAGGTTGGCTGTAAGGCAGGTTCTTTGATTCTTGAGGGCTTTTCTAGATTTGGAATGACTGATTAAGGGAAGTGGGGGAAGTCCAGTGCCCACACATTCAAAGTAGGTTGGATGCTGCACTAAATAAACCTGTGTAGGGAACCAGGTCCATATTGTCAGAGAGAGATGGGGGGGTCTCATGTCTTTTCCATCTCTCTGTTCTACGGTTCCATGAGAGCTTCCTTTATGAAAAGTTTATTTGAACTGTAGAAATGCAGACATTAATTAATTTTTTTAACAGTCTGTACAGTGATGTGTTATGTGTCTTTATTTACAAAATTTTTGCAATGGGTCTGGAGGACTAAGACAGGTAGTTAGCTGTGTTAGTCTGAAATCAGGCAGAAGGATTCTTATCCTATTCTTATCCCATTTCCTGGATTAGCTTTTATAACCTGTGTCCCTCATTGGGTTAACTGCTTTGTTTTTCTCTCTCCTACCCACCTTGCCACTCCCAGCAGTGCCCCTTCCTTTTTCCAGTCTCCTTTCCTACCTTTTGTAATTTAGACATTGCTTTCTATTTAGAAGTTCTGCTTCCTACAGCCCCTTCTCAGCATCTGATGTAAGCTGCAGCTTACAAAAGCTTGTCTACCTCTGATTTAGTTAGTTTATAAGGTGCATATCTACCCTGCCTTCTGAAGTACAAAGACATCCCTTTCCTTTTACTGGCTGAAGTATGATGTATTGGCTAGGTACATTTTTAACAGTGAAAAGCCACTAGTCACAAGGGAGCTAAATCCAGGAAAGGGAAGCAGGAACCACTCCATGATAAGTAATGCTCTGTGCAGTTGTAGGATTTTTGCAAGTGTAAATAGACGGTCTCTTTCATTTCACTGAAGCTCAGATCTGAACTAAGCAAGTTACCTGTACTGATGTCTTGTTTAACTTCTGCAGTGTGAGAGAGACCTGTGCCCTTTTTGTTTCAAAACCACTTTCCTCATTGAAAGACTTCAGTGTGGGACCAAAAGTAAGCAGGAGCCAAGAGGAAACCGCTACTTTCTGAAAGATAGAAGCTGAAATGTTACAGCAGTTTTAGCAAATGTCTCTGTCTTTGCGTGGTTAA